ATTTTGTAGAACATCACGGTTTTGGAGCCTTTGGATGGTGCTTGATCCAACGCTGGGGAACATCAGATTCCTCAGTCACTCGAGCACCAAAGCCCAAGTGAGGCCTCCTAAATTCCTAGATCCATCGTAAGATCGATATTTAAAATTATCCAGAGATTTATTCCTTCAGGAAGGAGCTGGCAGGAGCTGCAATTCCAAGCTGGCAGAGAAATCCGGGAGCTTCATCCCAATGCAAAAAATTCCTCCTCCACGGTTTGGCTCCCAAAAGTGCTGAGGAAGAGCTTGGCCAGCCTGGAGCGCGCCTGGAGCTTTCCCAGAGCGCATTCCAAGCCGTGGCACATCCCAGGACGCGTTATCCCGGTTTAACCGGGGCCAGGAATTACTCCAGGGGTGTCATTTGGAGTGCAAATCATTCCCGAGTTGCAAATCCCGGGGTTTTGTATCTCCAGCAAATCAAAGCGGGAAGTTGAGCTCTGACGCCATCGGATCCGTCAGACCACGTTATCCCTGCATTCCGCCTCTTCCAGACAAGCAGGAATGTCCCAGATTTGGATCTCTGGTGGTCTGTGGATAAATAAATGATCCTTGGGGTCCTACCACTCGTATTTCGCTCTTAAATTCCCTCAGGACAATTAAATATCCGATGGTTTTCCAATCGTTGCGGTCAACAGCAAAGGAATTCGTGGGGACAGTGTGGGCTTGAACAAAAGGTCTTGAGGTGCCTTCAAACCCCCCCACGGAGCAGGAAAAAGGACCCTCAAAGTCCTTGGAATGCTGGTGGAAAGAGAAAGGACCTGCTCATGTCAAGGTTGGGAATTTGAAGCTAAAAATGGGGAGATTCAGTTGGATATTGGGAAGGAATTCGGTTACGGTGACGGTTGGTGAGGGCCTGGAATGGAATTCCTGGAAAAGCTGTGGCTGCCCCATCCCTGGAAGTGTCCAAGTGCAGGTTGGAGCAACCTGGGGTGGGGGAAGGTGTCACGACCCACATCCATATGAGCTTTAAGGTCCCTTCCCACCCAAACCATTCCATGGTTCCGTGAAACTCAATGGTTCAATGGTGTTAAACTGGGAATCATCATTCCCAGGCTTCTCCCATCAGGAAGGAATTTTTCCCTGTGAGGGTGGTGAGACCCTGGAATGGAATTCCCAGAGAAGCTGTGGCTGCCCCAAAGGGGATGGGGCATCTCTAATTAAGATGATTTTCCCTTAATTAATGATCCCCCCTCCTTTTTTAAATACCTCGACATCTCCATCCTTGGAATTTCTCCCATCTCTGCATTCCCAGCCCTGGATTTTTTCCCATCCCAGCTCTCACAGGAGCTGGATCAGCTCCCAGATTTCTGCTCAGCCCTTTATGGATTTATTTCATTGCTCAGGGATCGATCTGACGCCTGTTCCCGGGAGTCACCAGCCGGGAAACTGCTGAGCAAGGCAGGGACAAAACTCTCCATCATCATCAACATCCAGAGGTTTTTCCTGTTGGATCAGCCTTTGGAGATGCTTTTCCTGACAAAAAAAAACCTCCTTGCGTTGATGTTTTGGAGGAACCGGCCACAATTTGTGGGATAATGGGTTTTTTTTTGAATTTTCATGGTAATAAGGTCATTAAAGTTTTATAGGATCATGGAAACATCAAATGGGTTGGGTTGGGAAGGGCTTTTGGAGGTCATCAAGCCTGACCTTCCACTGGACCAGGTTGCTGCAATCCCACTCCAGCCTGGGTTTAAGCTGGGTTTTAAGGAGCTGGAATTTGTGTCACTGAGGTTAATTTGGCCTCAGAGCCACCTGGGACTTGACCCCTCCCTCGGTGTCACCTCGGTGTCACCTCGGTGTCACCTCAGTGTCACTCCTGGCTCCGGGATTAACTCCATGAGCAGACCTGGCTTAGGATGAGTTTAAATTTCCCGGTGTTCCACACCTAAAATAATCTGGAATTTAGTGATCGCTGCAGCGGGAAAAACGGCTGAGCAGGCGTTTTTTGGGATCAGAGAGAACTGGGGTCAGATTTCCACATGGATTCCTGGGATTTTGGTCAGAAAGGAGCAGCTCCAAGCAAAGACCTGGAGGGAAAAATTTGGAGGAGTTGTTTTAAATTCCTGAACCGTCCAAAAAGAGGGAAATTAAGTTCAAGCTGGATCAGCTTTATCCAGAGTTGAGGCTTTGGGTTTTCAGAGGAACAAGGATGAGGGGGAAGGGTTTGGAATTAAAAATGGGGAGGTTTAGATGGGAATTTGGGAAGGAATTCTTCCCTGAGACAGTGGTGAGGTGCTGGAATGGAATTCCCAGAGAAGTTATGGCTGCCCCATCCCTGAAATTATCCAAGGCTGGGTTGGACAGGGCTTGGAGCAACCTGGGATAGTGGGAAGGTGTCCCTACCCATGGAATTCCACAACCTTTAGTTCTCTTCCAAACCATTCCATGACTCCACAATCCTCCCAACCATCCCGTAATATTCCTGCTGACATCTCCTCTTCGCCTCAGCCGCCCTTGAACCTTCTCCCGACATTGCCCAGGGAGTCACATCCCTTCTCCGTCAAAGCAGCGCCGCGTGAACGCCCGGATCCGACGGCTCCTGCCTCCCGGAGCTGGGTTTTTCCCTCTTTTTATGTAATTGGAAAGGAACGAGCAGCGGCCGTGGATTCGTGTTGATGGAGGAGTTGGTTTTTCCCTGAGGTGGCTTTAGGGTCAGCGCTTTTCCGTCGCTGGAGTTGTCGCGGATTCAGGGCGGAGCAGAGGGCTCAGCCTTCTCCCACTGTCCTGGCATAGCTGTTTTTCCAGCAGGGAATGCAGAATTGCAGGATTCTTTTCTGGATTCTTCCAGACTGCACAGCTCCCGGTGTTTGTGTGGTTAACGGATCGAGGCCAGAGGCTGCCAGAGCATCCGCCTGCATCCTGAGCTCTGATTTTGCCAGATGTTCTGTCCTGTCCTCAGGAACTGACAAAAAATGGGATTTCACCTGGCTGTGTGTGGCCACATCCCAGAAATTCCCAGTGGAGAGCAGGAAAGGAGGGAATTCTTCTCCTCTGCCCTGCTCAGGTGAGACTCCACCTGGAATCTTCTTCCAACTCCAGGATCCCACTGGTGCCGCTGGCCACCTTGGCTGGTTCTTTGGCCAATCCCGGTTCTCCAAATCTGGAAGTGGCTTCCAGTGGCCGCTCCATGCCAGATCGGATCTGAGTTTTACAGAATGAGAGGAGCCATGATTTAGGATCAACTCACCTCCCACTGCTTTTAGTCTCTCTTCTACATGGAAAAGCTTAATCATGGATTTTCCTCTCTTTTCCAAGAGGAGTTGAAAACTTTTTCACCCTTTAGGGGGGTTTGATCCAAGCTGGGAGCCCACACCCTGAAAATCCCACTCTTTTTTCCACCCAGAGGTTTAAATCCCGTTGGAAAATGAGCTGAGGGCTCGGGGCCAGGCTGACATCTCAGACCCCCCTCCAGGGACTTCTTTTCTTTCAAACTGGGCATTTCTGAAGAGCCTCCAGGGATTCATTCCCAGGGAAAGGCGTCGGGATGCGATCCATGTGATCCGTTATTGTCTAACTCCCTGGATGTGTCAGCTTTAAGTGGCACCTTCCTTGATAAGCCTCACTTAGCTTTTTATTCCTCCTCATCTATTTCTAGACGTTCCTTAAAAGCCTTGGAAAAGCAGGCGGGGATAAATCCCAAATAATTTCATTAAATTCCTTCAATTTTTTTTTTTTTTTACATAAACCCACGCAAAAAAGAGGAATTTGAATAAAGACGCGGATCCCGGAACATCTCAGGTACCCTCTGGATTATCCAGAGGTGACAAGTGCAGCGTTTGGGGTGGAATTCTCTGTTTCTTAGGATTGCGACTTCTTTTAATCCTCTTTGGAATTTCTAAGCTCCCGTTTGCTGCTGGATGATCCCAAAAATCTCTTTTGTTGTGTTTCTGAGCGAGGAGGTCAGCGAAATTCCAGGAGAACGCAGATGGGGGAACAGGATGGAGAGCAGCACTGGGGAGGGGGAATTTGGGGGATTTGGGGGTGTTGGTGGATGAGGATCTCCACAGGATGCATCCATGTGCTCTGGTCCTGGAAATTCCCCATGTTCTGGGCACATCCCACAGTGTGGACAGCGGGAAAAGGGGAATTCTTCCCCTCTGCCCCGCTCAGGTGAGATCTCACCTGGAATATTACATCCAACAGCAGAAGGACCTGGAGCTGCTGGAGCAGATCCAGAGGAGGCCACGGAGAAGCTCCAAGGGCTGGAGCCAGCCTGGGAGAGCTGGGAATGTCCAGCCTGTAGAAGGGAAGGATCCTGGGAGACCTCAGAGCCTCTTCTGGTGCCTAAAGGGGCTCCAGGAGAGCTGGAGAGGGACTTGGCACAAGGGATGGAGGGACAGGACACAGGGAATGGCTTCCCATTGCCAGAGAGCAGGGATAGATGGGATATTGGGAAGGACTTCTTCCCCTGTGAGAGTGGGGAGGTGTTGGGATGGAATTCCCAGAGGATCTGTGGCTGCCTCTGGATCCCTGGAATTATCCAAGACCAGGTTGGACGGGGCTTGGAGCAGCCTGGGATGGAGGAAGGTGTCCCTGCCCATGGGACCATCCCATCCCATTCCCATTCCCATTCCCATTCCCATTCCCATTTCCATTCCCATTCCATCCCATTCCATCCCTTCCCATGGAGGCCAGGACACGGTTGGGCCCGTTCAGCCCTCACCATCTCCATCCCCGCCACCATCAGGTTTCGGTGTTGGTGGCGCCCGTGGTCGTCACCCAGCCCAGGTGTGTTGGGACCGGTGGTTTTGGGATGGTGCCAGAGCTGGTACCCACAGAGCCAACGCCTTTTCCCAGTGTCGGAATCGGGACAGAGGGAAGAGGGTTTGGGATCTTCGGAGTTCCGGGGAGCTGCGCTGCTCCAGCTGGACCTGGGGAGGTGGACTCCATCATTCTGGAGTTTTTTCTGGGAAGTGCTGCCGGGTTTGGTGATGTGGGCGGCAGCGCCGGGCTGCAGGGTGGTCATGCAGGAGAAATTCATCTGCAGGTTGGTGATTCCAACCAGTCCTTCCCATTCCCTCATGGAATGTGCTTTGATCCACGGGTCTTCAAGGGTTCGGGCTGGACGCCGTGATCCCAGGTGGACATTTTGGTGCTCCAACACAGGGCGTGTGTTTTGCAGACTTGTTGGGTTTCCCTGGGAGCTGAAAATCTGGGATTGCTTGGAAACCCTTTGGAAAATTCTCTGTTTTGTGTCAATAATTCTGTGCAGCTCAATGGGGTAGAAGAAAGAGTTGTGAAGTCTTCATCCCACGCTCGCTGCGAGTGTTGATCACAGAACCATTGGATGGTTGGGGTTGGGAGGGACCTTGGTTGAATTTTCCCTCTCTCCTTGTTCTTTTCCAGGCTGGAATGGGTGGGAATCATCAAATCTTGGGAACGGGAGACTCGGTGGGGGTGGAAGGAAGAGTTGAGAAATGGTTCTTCTCCATCCCGTGCTGGTGTCAAATCACGGAATCATGGAGTTGTTGGGGTTGGGAAGGACCTTGGTTGAATTTTCCCTCTCTCCGTGTTCTTTTCCAGGCTGGAATGGGTGGGAATCATCAAATCTTGGGAACAGACTTGGTGAGGATGGAAGGAAGAGTTGAGAAGTCGCTCTTCTCCGTCCCGTGCTCACATCAAATCACAGAATCATTGGGTGGCTTGGGCGACCTTCTGAGATGGCTCGGTTGACATTTCCCTTCTCTCCTTGTCCCTTCCCAGGCTGGAATGGGTGGAAATCATCGAGCCTCGGACCCGGGAGCGCATGTACGCCAACCTGATCACGGGGGAGTGCGTGTGGGACCCCCCCGCCGGCGTGCGGATCAAACGCACCAATGAGAACCAGTGGTGGGAGCTCTTCGACCCCAACACCTCCCGCTTCTACTACTACAATGCCACCACGCAGAGGACGGTGTGGCACCGTCCCCAGAACTGCGACATCATCCCGCTGGCCAAGCTGCAGACGCTGAAGCAGAACACGGAGTCGCCGCGGGCTTCCACGGAAAACAGCCCCGGCAGGAGCAGCAATGTCAGCAGGGAGGGAAGCACTAGCTCGTCCTTGGAGCAGGAGCTGGAAGGCAACGAGAAGGTGCAGGAGCAGCGGTCGAGCCGCCAGTCCAGCCAGTATTCCGTGGTGAAGGAGGAAACGGAAAGGTAAAGGTGGGATGGGTGGGGGGGAAAAATCGGGAATTCCCAGTCCTGGTGGTCTCCAAGAGCAACCCGCATGCTGCGGATCTTGGGCAAAGATATTTTGTGGATGGTTCCTCCAGCTCGAGCCTCGGTGGGTCTCCACCAAGCTGGGTTCTCCAAAAAACGAGGAGGAAGAGGGAAAAACGTCAGGAAAAGGTGTTTTCTCCACCTTAGGGATAATTTAGATGTTCCCTGCAGGAAGTTTCCTTAAAGGAATAATTTCTCGTCCTCTGAAATTTGTTTTTAGGATTGGAAATTGGGGTTTAAAGCCCGACGTGGTTTTAAATTATTTTCCTGGATAAAATCTCCCTGAGCTGATGAGTTGGGATGATTCATGCCACAACCACGGCTTGTCCCACAGGTCTGGGGAGCTCCTGGCAGGGATAATTTCCCTCGGGAAGGAGAAGGGAGTCAGTGCTCAATTCCCAAGGACAACGTTCGGAGACGTTTGTGTCGCTCCTCTCCCGTCATTCCGTCTTTTATGGCTTGAAAGCTGCAAATCATGGAACCTTGGAATGGTTTGGCTTGGAAAGGAGCCTTAAAATCCATCTTTTTCCACCTCCTGCCGTGGGCAGGGACACCTCCCACCATCCCAGCCTGACCTGGGACAGTTCCAGGCATGGAGCAGCCACAGCTTTTCTGGGCGACCTGAGGTCGGTCATTAATTAATACATTTGTCTTCTCTTAATTGATGCTTTTGACCACGTTAAGGACCCGACCAGGTTGAGGAGACCAAGCAGGGGTGGAATTCCCGTTCCCAACTCCTGCTCCCAGAAACTGCGGCTGGATGGGAGCAGGAATTCCCGGCTCAGCAAGTGCTTTCATGTGGGACATCAGAGGCGGCCTGGGCTCCGCACCTCGGGGGAGGTTCCACCTTCCCGAGGTCCTGGAAGAGGCTCTGGTGGAATCTCTGAGCCTGGGAATGGGGGGGTCCTTGTGGGGCAGGGGGATTTGGGGAAGGGAAATGGGTTTGGGGTTGTTCACTGCAGGTGGAATCAGCCATGGAATTACAGAGTCACGGAATCATGGAATGGTTTTGGTTGGAAAAGGCCTTAAAAATCATGGAATTCCATCCTTTCCCATGGGCAGGGACACCTTCCCCCATCCCAGGCTGCTCCAAGCCCCATCCAACCTGGCCTGGGACATTTCCAGGGATGGGGCAATCACAGATTCTCTGGGAATTCCATTCCAGCCCCTCAAAGGGAAGAATTTCTTCCCAATATCCCATCTATCCCTGCCCTCTGGCAGTGGGAATCCATTCCCTGTGTCCTGTCCCTCCATCCCTTGTCCCAAGTTCCTCTCCAGCTCTCCTGGAGCCCCTTTAGGCTCTGGAAGGTCTCTGGAAGGGGCTCTGAGGTCTCCCTGGATCCTTCCCTGTTCCAGGCTGGACATTCCCAGCTCTCCCAGCCTGGCTTCAGAGCAGAGGGGCTCCAACCCTTGGAGTATTTCCATGGCCTCCTCTGGAATTGCTCCATCAGTTCCAGATCCCTCTGCCTTTGGATCCTGGAGCTGGATGCAGAATTCCAGGTGGGGCCTCACCTGAGCGGGGCAGAGGGGCAGAATTCCCCCTTTCCTGGTGGGAAATGATCCCAGGAGGTGCTGATGGAGCAGGATCCCGTTCCCAAATGGGTTAACAAGGATCAGGGGATGGATTTTAAATTCCCTGGGATTTGCTGTAAGAGCAGGGGTGGGATCAGTAGCTCCCTGAGGAAAGGATCATTCCCGAGGTGAGATCAGTAGCTCCCTGAGGAAAGGATCATTCCCGAGGTGGGATCAGGAGTTTCCTGGGAAAAGGATCATTCCCGAGGTGGGATCAGGAGTTTCCTGGGGAAAGGATCATTCCCGAGGTGAGATCAGGAGTTTCCTGGGGAAAGGATCATTCCCGAGGTGGGATCAGGAGTTTCCTGGAAAAAAAGATCATTCCCGAGGTGGGATCAGCAGCTCTCTGGGGGGATTCCCACATCAGACCCAGCACGGACATTCCAGGTCACCAATCCTTGGTGTCCTCCACCCACACGTTTCCATTCCCATTATGGGATGCAAATCTTCTGGATCAGGTGGGAGGAGGACTGGACTCTCAAATAAAAAGGTTTAATCCCTAGAAATTTCTTAGAAGAGAAAAGGAATTCAGCCCTGGGCTGGGTTTGGCCGATGGGAGGTTGTGTGTCCTCAAATCTCCAGGAATTCCAGGTCTTGGCCTTTCCAGAGATTGGGATTGAGCACATCCCGGGTTTTGGAGCGTTAAAAATTTAATAAAAATTTTTAAAAGTTTGGATGCCACTAGAGGGAGCAGAAATTCCTGCTGACTGGAATTTCCACCTGCATCCCTGGAAGTGACAGGGATGAGTCCTGTTGGCTCAGCCAAACCATGGATTGATCCTCATGTCCTGGCTGGAAAAAGAAAACTCCATTCCCACATTTTCCCCATCCCAGGAAGCGTCCAAGGCCAGGTTGGACAGGGCTTGGAGCAACCTGGGATAGCCGAAGGGTCTCCCTGTGGAATTCCATTATCTTGAAGGTCCCTTCCAACCCCAACCATTCCATGATTCCATGAGTGCTTTCCCAGATCTCGGTTGCGTTTCTCACAGAAGAATCTGGGAAGCAGCTCCGGAGGTTTCCTGGTGGAACCTCCCAGCTTTTATCCCATGAAATCTTATTTAAATATTTCTGGATAAGCTCAGCTCATCTGGTTGGAAAAGGGAATTTGGGAGAAGCGGGACGGTTTTTATCGGAATTCACACCTGGAGCTTCCCTTAAAATTAAGGAACCAGCGCATCTCCAGGTTTGGCTGGAGATGCTGGAGGCTGCTCCCAAGCCATTCCTCACATCCATGGGGATGTTCCATCCCACCCGTACAGGTCAGGGATGCGTCAGCCCCTGGAATCCTTGCCAAGCACCTGGATCCCATCGGAATCACCTCACGCTTCCATGGTGAGGTGGGATTTATTTTAATTAGCAGCCAGATCCAGCTCAGGAATCAACCCTGGGATCTCAACAGCAGCCTTGTCTTGGTGGTCAGCAGAGCATTCCCAGAGGGATTTTCCAGCGTTTTCCTGGAGTTTTCCACGCTTGTCTTAAAGTGGTGGCTTTTCTCCGGAGCGTGACTTGACAGCCGTGAAATCTCGGAGCGGGAACGTCGGCCGGATTTTGTGTCAGGTCGCTGGGATTTTCCACACCGTCGGGAAACGTCTGAGGTTATTGGCTTGAAATCCTTGGGGAAGGCGTCAGGCAGGGGAAAAAGAAGACTTTTCCATGGAAAACTCGGCTCTGCCACTGCTTCTCCAAGGAGGAACTCCAAGTGGAAGCTTGAAGGACGAGGAAGTGGATTTTTGACCATCAGGAGTGTTTTCCTTGGATCAAAATGCAGGAATCTTGGAATGTGAGGGGTCTTCACCCAAATTCCATCTGCTGGGAAATTGTGCCCAAGTTATTCCTCAGAATTCCCACCTTTTTTTTTTTTTGCACCTCCCAGTTCTGAAATCTTCCTGGATTTAGTGTGGCTGGACTGGAATATCCAAGGGGAATTCTCTCAAAATCCAGTCCCTGGAATATGCGTCTTCTGGAGCTCTCTGGGATCAAAAACACCCCCCCCTTACAACCAGCAGCCATTTTCTGACTCCAAAAAATCCCAAAAAAAGCAGGTTTGTGGAATAAGAGATGCCTCAAAGCTCTAAAATACCCAATTTGAGTGTCCCACGATTTTTCCTTGGAATTCTCTCCGTTTATTTCCTTTCCTGGAAGGCTGTGGGAAGAGCCTGCCGTGCCTGGGTTCGGAAAACAGGTGGATCAATGACATAAATCTCCGCAGCATCTGCTGCCCGAGGGTTTTCCAGGTCCCGGCAGGGATTCCCAGCCTTCCTCCGAGAAGGAAGAGAAATCAGGGACTTGGAGTCGCTCCGGAAAACGGCGCGGAAGGACCGTGGCACGGAGAGGATCCTCAAGGATCCTTCCTTCCCCATGTCCTGCCTCCAGCAGGAGCTTAAGGCTTGGAATTCCCGACCTTTCGTCACCCAAATGTTGGATTTTCCCGGCTGGACTGGTGTGAGGAGCCAAGAGGAACTCGGGAGAGCTGGGAATGTGCACCTGGAGAAGGATCCAAGGAAACCTTGGAGCTCCTTCCAGTGCCTGAAGGGGCTCCAGGAGAGCTGGAGAGGGACTTGGGAGAAGGGATGGAGGGACAGGACACAGGGAATGACTTTAAACCGGAATAGGGCAGGGATAGATGGGATATTGGGAAGAAATTCCTCCCCTGGGAGGGTGGCGAGGTCCTGGAATGGAATTCCCAGAGGACCTGTGGCTGCCCTATCCCTGGAATTTTCCAAGGCCAGTTGGAGCAACCTGTGAGAGGGATTTTCCCTTCCAACCCAAACCATGGGTTTGAGCATTTGATGAAGTTTTTCCATGAAATTTCCATGGAATTTCTGTGATTTGATGAAGTTTTTGCTCCCATACTGGAGTCCCTTAACGACAAAGAGGATGGTCTGGAATTTCTCCATCTTTCCAGTCCCTGGCACTGTGGGAACTTCATCCCATTCCCAGACCACGGCATTCCACTGGAAATCCTTCTCTTCCCAATGTTTTATCCATGAGGTGGATGGGCAGAGCAGGAGGTCGGGACACGGATGTCCCCCCACTTCCGGTGGCCAGGAAAACCACCACGGGCTCTTCCTGCCCTTGGAGCAGGCTCTGAGGAATCCCAATCCCTGAATCCACCTCTGGAAGGGAATGTTCCTTCCAGAATGTTGGAGGGAATTCTTTGAATTCTTGAAGTTCAGATTAGTTTTTTTTTTTCTCCCCTTTATTTGCTGCCTGTGGCAACAAATTCCTGCATTTCCCAATTCCATTCCCCTGGGATGACTTCCCCTATCCTGGGTTGCTCCGAGCTCCATCCAATCTGGCCTTGGACATTTCCAGGCAGCCACAGTTTTTCTGGGAATTCCATTCCGGTGTTTGCTTTTTTCCCC